CAGAGTAAGGGACACAATATTAGTCACAGAAAAACCCTAGAAGGTATCAGCACACTCATGGTTTTCTCGGCAGTGAGGACGGGACATGGTGTCACTAGACAGCCCCATGCTCAGAGCAAGAGCCGGGTACGCCAAAGGGACTGTGTTTCTTTTTTTTCTTGATGGAATCACAAACTTAGATCAGGGGAAAGATTTCAGAAGGAGTCTGACGAAGTGTCTCACAACATCCTTGTGGACAAGAGTGAGAGCGGTGAGTGAGACAATAATATAATTCAACAAATTAGCCAAAAGTTGAATAACTACATAAAGAGCGTTGGGTAAAACAGAGGTCAACCTGGAGAGAAAATCCCACAGTCACAACCTGGGGCTTCCTGCCTGTTATTGATCTAGGCAACACTGTTCTGTTAAAAATGTAAATAAATAACTAGAAGCTATTCTTACTCAATTTGCCAACTACAACAGCTGGAAAAGGTAGTTAATACAATGAATGATAGAAACACGGACTAAAAAGTCCTAGAACACATGAAATTTCAGGCTGATATAGAGAAAGAGATTAAATACAGACAAAGATGAATTCTTTCATCCAGGTTATAAAAACTTGCCTGCAAAGTGGGTGAGGCCTGGATTAACAAACCTTCACATTTTGTAGGGGTTTCAGTTGACTGTATCTCCAGTCTGAGCCAAACAATGAATATTATTCCTTTTAGGGTGTGAAAAAATAGACGCACAGGATCTCAAGACAGGAAAGGATTTCTATTCCATTTGGGAGCCATGTTGTCACAGAGGAAACAGATAATCCAGAGGCAGGAAAAGCCACATGACCACAATGAAAGCATTTGGAAACCAGAGTAAATGAGAAACAAGTTGAAAGAAGTGATGTTGGCTTAGAAAGGAGCTAATTAGAGAAGTGACAAGGTAACTGCTCGTAAGCTGTGCTCAACAAGAGCAAATTATAGGACCGGTGACTTCTGCCCAGTGTGGGAAAGAGTTTTCTAACATTAGACTGGCCCCCAACCACAGTAAGATGGGCCATCCATGTGCACAGGGGGCCCTGGAAGATGACCTGTGAGGGGAGAGTCTCACAAGTGTGTCTTCGATTGACTCAGATCTGTAAACATTGCTTCCATCTACCCTGGGTGTTTGAAATCGCATAATGCTGTTAAGTAAGGTTGTGCCACACACACAAAAAGAATTCAGTCTGCTGCCAAAGAATGTGAAGGTAGGTGGATTTTCCTCCAATAGTGTCTCTGTGCCTTGCTGGTGCATCTGAAACATTCTTTTGTCACTGAAGAATTCAAAACGTGAAGATAAGATGTTGAAAGACAGAGAAGGCCATCCTGAGTTATACTCATAGGATGCTCTGTCTCTTTGACGTTAAAATCAACTGCCCAAAGGAGCAGGACCTTTATATCTTTCAATTACGTTCTGAGATCTCACAGCCTTTCACGTTTGAAGGTAGAGTAGGAGAAACCGGCAAAGACGTGGCCTCTGTATGTAGAAAAGATCATGGCCAGAGTCACAGTTTGGTTTTCTTAAAAAGTGTTTGTAACTTCAGCTATGAAACGTGCAATAACTTCACATCAACTTGCTGCTGTGGTTCACAAAACATAAATTTATCACATTGTAGATTTTAAATAAGGCACTTGACACTTTTTACACGTAAATGATGAAAAAGTATACATGGCATCCTTTTTAGTTGTCACCTTCTAAAAAATTTGTTAACAGTTAGATACTGCACAATGAAATAAAATAAATTTCAAGGTCACTAAACATCTCTATCATTTTTAAAATGGTAATTTTTTTATGACCTTAAGAGTTCATCAATTTGGAAAAAGAAAGCAACGGAAACTTTCTGATATTTATTAAGGCAAATCACTTTTCACAATATTAACATATTAATACTTTTTTGTATCGAAACAATAGCACTAATTACTTTGGAGCCTTAAGCTATTTATTAAATATTCATTAGCATTTCATTGATGTTAACCTAGATGATTTTAGATACCTTAAAGTGTTAGAGGCATAAGATACAGTGAAGATAATTTTGAGTATATATCAATTTCCAGATTTGGAAACAGGCCCAGAGGGGTAAAGCCCTCCTCACCCGAGTCTGAGCAGTTGGCTACTGAGAAGCGAGGTTTGGAACCCGGTGTCCCAGCTCACTGTCCAATGCTTGTGATGGCAAAGCAGAGAGTAACTGAGTCCCAAAGCGCCTGCAGTAAGACATGCGCATGAAGGCCTGTCTTACCCAGTGGACTGCCACGCCCCGGGGAGGGGAGAGGCATACAAAGGAGATACTGCTTTTCTTAAAGAAACTTGCAGTCTTGCAAAGAAAATAAACCTGAAACACTGTTTAAATTATAGCTCAAGATATTCATTTAAGAAATAAAGATATGTGATTAGTTGATGTGTGGTTCCTACAAAGTTGTAGGAGTTCCAAGGAAACACAACTCCCCGTGGGATGGGAGGGTGGAAGAACGTTGAGGGAAGTGGAAGCTGACTTGGATCTTGAAAAATAGGGAGGCTTCAGAGGGAGGGAAAGAAAAGATGGGATTGCAGGAAGATGGACCTGCATGAGTATCTGTAAAGAGCTTCCCCAAACAACATACTGTGTGATTACTAGCACTAGGTAAGGGATATGGTTATTTATCTTAAGGGTCATTTTCATCACGAAGAGCAATTTAATGTTTATTATCTGTCCTGGTGAATTGCAAAAAAAAAAAAAAAAGATATGAATGTGAACTATTAATGCAATGCCTTATTTACTCACTTATGTCTCATTATTCCACAAAAAAACTGATGCAGCTTTCAAAAATATAACAAAACAAATTATTAAGGAAAATGATAATAAACCCAGGAGTGAAAGCAGCATGCACAGAAGAGCAGATTGTATAGTCCAGACGGGTTGTTAGCTGGAGGTGGGAGCGCAAAGGGGACAGAAACAGATTTAACCTTTCTGGCATTTGCCAGGTTTTTCATGCATTAGATTAAAAAGAAAAGAAAAATCCTGTAATTCAAAAGCCTCGCCTTTCCTAATACTGAAACATGAGAGACGTTTCTCCCTCGAGACGTCATAAAGAAGCCAGTGAATGATGCAGAAGGTGCTGGCCTCAACCCTGTCCCCGACCCAATGGTCAGAATGAGCAGCTTCACAAGGCTGTCCCTGAGTGGAAGACAAGAGCTCAGAGCGGAGGCTAATTCAGCTACAAACCAGCGTAGCCCACATGCAGAGACCCCCTTGTCATACAAGAGTAAATTCAGAATACGAGCTGGGTTTGGAGGGGCCGCATGTTCTTCAGTTCAGATTGACTCAGGTATTTACTCAAAACCACTGATTGCATGCAAGGTGACAGAGGTGGGGACACAGCCATGAATAAAAACAGACAGGTGTTCTCATGGAGTTAAGTATTCTAGTGGTGAGATAAGAATCGCAGATAAATAAATGCATGTGAGATGGTGATAAATGCTGTGGGGAAAAGGCAGGGCGAGGTGAGAGAACGTGGTGGGCAGCGTGAGGTTAATATTTAGAAAGGGCATTCACAGACAACCTCTGCCACGGTGATGATCTGGGCTAAAACCAGCATGATCCGAGGAAGGACACTCTAAGATATCTGAGAGAGAAGTGTCACATGCCAAGGGAACAGTTCGTGAAAAGGCACTGAGAGAAGCATGCTTGGCGGGTCTGAGTAGCTGCAAGACAGCCAGTCAAGCAGAGGCAGGGTGAGGGTCTTATAAAAATTAAGGACCCAGGATGAGGTGAGAAAAGGGTTAACTATGGAGTCAATGATTTGTTCAGAAAATACCCACTGTGTCTGCTTCAGCACAAAGGCAGCTGAGGTCCGCCAGTGTATACCACAGAACATGGCCATCGTCATTTTAGCTTAAACACTGTGCTAAAACTGGCACTAAAATCACCCTCTAAAGACACGGGCTGTTGTCTAAAACCCACCTACATTATGTGCAGACTATCAGAGTGAGACAGCTAGACTTATCACTTCTGACACTTAAATATCCACAGAATGTCCTAATTTTGTTTCCTGGTGAAACCTGCAAAGTTTTTTAAATGCAAACTGCACCCCTATGTACCTGACCAAATCATTCATTACATTTACTTCCAGCTGAGTGGCGCAGGGCATCTTTCAAAGGCACTGAGTTTGATTTTAAAAGTACTCCGGCCATTTGCATGATAGAATCTACTGTCTATCGAGGGCAGTTCCGTGTGTCAACAGAACTTATCATCAATTTAGAGAAGACAACTTACATGTTTCCCCATAGCAGGGGGCAGGCATCCAGGACACTGAAAAGTGGAATCAAATCATTTAGACCCAAGTCAAGAGAAGGAGGGGGATGACAATACCCCTTTATCTTACGCGGAGAGACATGTCGTCTCAGGAGATCACAGAGGCTTATAGGACAGGCTCCTAACAGGTATTGAGACACCGGATGTACAAGATGGTTGGTAACTGGTTCCAAATTGAGTTTAGAGATCTTGGTACATTAATGATTCCCCCAGAAACAGGTGATAAGTAAACAGTAATAAAACCAGCAAATACCGAGCATGGCTCTTGACACATTTTGCCCTGAAGTGACACAGAATATATATCAAAGCCCTATAATGAGCCTTTTTATAAGCCTCACCGGAGAATATGTTTTGGTTGATTTTAGAGAGAGAGGGAGGGAGAGAGAGAAACATCAATGTGAGAGAGAAACACTGATCGGTTGCCTCCTGTATGAGCCCCACCCGGGGATTGAACCCACAACCTTTTGGTGTACAGGGTGATGCTCCAACTGAGTCACCTGGCCAGGGCAAAACGGATCACTTCTGTCTAAAGACCACCCGCACTATGCAGAGAATATTGGAGTGAAAACGCGACGCTTGTCATTCCCGTCAAGAAGAAACCTAACACAGAGATTAGTCGTCCAATATGAGTTTATAAACTAAACCATCAGTACCAAAAATCTGTGAAAAAGAATGATGTGGAATTAAATGAAACCATCACCTGCTCAGCCAGCAGGGAAGCTAAGCTGGAATACGCGTCGGCAAACTCCGGGCCGTGCTTGATGGAATCCTTCAGTAGGGTGACAGCCTCTTCTTTTTCCTCCTGGGACCTGCGGGTGACAAGGGGGGGGGGAGAACACATCTTTTAATAAAACTCTGTTTAAATCTTTTGGCGAGACTTTGAGATCTATTTATTTTAGCAAAAATTAACTGGTTCACCCTGGGTTTCATCGCAAATGAATGGAGCTCCAGTGTCTCAAGTTTAACAGTTTCTGTCTCTGAATTCTTGGTGGAAAGAGACATTAAGGCATAAATGGTGCAATATTCGCTGGTGTTTCTACCTTCTATTTCCTGCTATGCACTTTGGGGGAGCTTTATTTCTTATCTTACAAGTTTGTTAGCCAGAAAGTTGAAGTCTCAGAGCAGCTGTCCGAGGACACTGCCTGGGGGCGCGGGGGCCAGTGCCAGGCTGCGAGAGGTGATGTGAATCCCCGCAGTGCCATCCGCTCCGCTGCAGGCGGCTCCTCAAGGGCCGAGACGCCCATCGGGACAAGGCAGAAAACGGCCCCTGTTAGTCTTTGCTTTTATAACTAAGAGATCCAGTTTACACATAATTTATGAAATTAGAAAATACTGTGACTGCTGGCTGGCAAAGAGTGGCTGGCTATTTTATCATCGTAATTTTATTAAGAATTGAGGCTGGGTCTGTGCTCTTCATTTCAATCTTCCCCCAATGGTCATGCTTCTGGCTTGAAGAGGACTCAAGGCCCCCAAGTTATCCATTACTTTGGGGGACAGTTCTCTTTCCTGTTAGTGCCTTGGGGAAACACTGGGCCACTGTCCCGATAGCAATATCTTTGAAGCCAAAAATGGACACTGATAATGACCAACTTTGCTACTAGTACAATTCCGCAAACACCGATCACTTGCTAAAAGCTAGATATTGTAACTGGCAAAAGAAGTGGAAGGAAGGAGGGAACTCCTGGAACTACAAGCACACAGCCAAAGGGTCCCCCCAGCTCTACCCACTGCTACTATGCTGAGTGGTGTGCTTATGTTCTTACTATTTAGAATCAACAATCGCTTCGTCAGCAGTGAATATCTACCACATGCTCTGGAAAATTTCCACATAGCTTATTTACTCATTTATTTAAAAATATATCTTTATTGATTTCAGAGAGGAAGGGAGAGGGAGAGAGGGAGATAGAAACATCAACGATGACAGAGTCATTGATCGGCTGCCTCCTGCACGCCCCCAACTGGGGATCAAGCCCACAACCTGGGCATATGCCCCGATTGGGAATCGAACTGCGATCTGGATTCTAGGCTGACGCTCAACCGCTGAGCCACGCCCGGCCAGGCCACATAACATTTTTAATTTAATTCTTACGACAATCCCTGCAGTAGGTGTGACTGTCTTATGATGCTCATTTTTTTCTGATGAGAAAATTTGGATTCGGAAGTCAAGCGACTCACCATATTCACATAACCCGACTTCTGAGTCAAGAGCCAGCGCTCCTCTATTGCATCACATATGCCATTCTCGCTACTTACAAACCCACCTCTGTGACCTTGCTGCTCAAAGTGTGATTCATGGATCAATATGATCAGCATCACCTAGGAGCTTGTTAAACATGCAGAGTCTCAGGCCCCAGCCAGACCCACTGAATCAGAGCCTGCATTTAAAAGAGATTCTCAGGTCATCTGTACACACGCTAAGATTTCAGCATAACTGCTCCGTGAATTATCAAAGGCAGCCGAGAGTAGCTCCTGCTACGAAACCCCTACGGCTTCAGTCTGTGTAGGACCAAGGTCTTTAGAAGGAAAACTAATATTGACTCCCATGTCTGAGTTCCAAGTGCCAGAAGCAGCATATTACAATGTGACTTTACCTGGAAGATAATCTTTCATCACAGACCTTGAAAAAAGAGTCATGTTTCCAGCACAGACCTAGCATTTAGCTATTCGATTAGCACACATTTACCATCGTCAGCTATGTGTTAGCTACTTCCCGAAGGAGGTGGCTGTCCGTGCTACCCTCTCCTTATGGGGGTCTGGCTAACTCCCACTGGGCTCCTCTCGATGCACAGTCCTGCCTAGATAGCAGTGTTACACCTGTGTCCTTACGTAGATATCCTTGGGATGTGGCTTGAAAGTTGCATGGTTATAAAAACAGTTGCATTACAGCTCTCCGGGTGCTGCTCTCTCGCTGACTCATTCATTTAGTCCACAAGCATTTAGAGTGGCCGAAAGCATGGAACAGACTGACGAGTCTCAGAGGAAAGGAGAGGGTGGGTGGGGAAGGATTAGCTAAAAATTTACATTCGTATTTGCATAACCCCTGAACAGACAATGGTGTGGGGAAGGCCTGCGGCAGGGGAGATGGGGGGGTGTAGAAGGGACCAATGGGGGAAAACAGAGGACATCTGTAATACTTTCAATAAAGATAAATTTAAATAAAAACAGTGACAGTAAGACTCTATGGAAGGGCACTATGTTTACATACTCCTGGGTTTCTATTCTAAAACATATTTTGAAGTATTTCTTCCATGGGCACCTCTTTTTAAATAAAAACTTATTTTTTAATCCGGGTAATTTTACTATTGATTTTATGGTTAGCAGAACTCTTCCTCCAAGGATTTTGTACATCTTTATTAACATTAATTTGGAAATCCTCTTCAAATCCATAGGGGGATATGGACTTAGGAAATTAAGGCTGAACATTAAGTCCCTCAAGACATAATTTAGCTTGGATAGTCTTCAAAGTCAGCAGGAAAAATACCACAGCAATTTGATGATAAAATTTAATAATTTTCCATTTGTCATGGCCCACATCAGTTAGAACGGCAACTTAAACCTTTTGTAGATGAACTCGGTGAGATTAATTACCCTTAATACAGTCTATAAATCTATATCCTTGAGGTCATCCATTAACATTCGTCTGACACAACGGAAAAGTTAGCATCGAAGTTATTTACAGGGAATGCGGATTCTTCATGAAAAACTGCATTTCTATGAATCTCTCGAGGGAGTAACTGACATACTTTTAGAAAACCACTGTATCTCACAATTTCATTTAATATATGATGGCAAGATGCAACTACTCGGGCAGACAGGCCATTTCCCCCGGGCTCTGGGCCCGTGGGTGGCTGGGCTCTTCCGTGGGGGCTGAGTCAGTCGTCAGACGCCAACGGGGACAGGCACATGCTACCTACACTGATATTTTAAAATGCTTTTTACGAAAGCCCAGGAAATTGACATGTGGCCATTTTGTTGTTGATTTTGTATCTGGAAGGGAGAGGAATAGCAGGCATGTTAATATAGAAAGAAACAGAAGATGTATCTCTTCTGTGGTCTCCTTTTTGCTCACCGGTTGGTGGGAGTTTATGAAGTAGGTGTGGCTTTGACACAGTAACTTACGACAGATGATTCATCCAAACGGGACCTTCCTCGGTCACGTAGTCACGCAATTACCACCTGCGAACTGAACTTCATTTCAACCTGTTTCTGAATAGCATCCTTTTCATATCTACATTATGGCCCATGTTTCTCTGATAATTATTCCACATTATAAAACAGGGGCAATATTCCTACAATTCTACTAGGCTACTGCAGTCTGGAGTGCACCTCGCTCGGCTTTGCTTGCTAACACCCGAGTTCACACCCTTCGTTTGCAACCTGTTTCCAGTTCCCTCTCTCTTCTCCTTTTGCTGTAGACAACTGAGATACATCTTTTTCTAGACATTGCTTTCAACACATTTGCTTATATAAAAATGTTCATTATGTCCTACTGCCTACGGAGAGAATCTTAGTTTAAAACCCTCTACAATACGGTTCTGACCAATGTTTAAACATACCCAGGTATCCACTAGTCCAGTTAGGCTGGGTGGCCTTTGGCATCTTTTCTGCAGAACCTAAGAGATCATCTGGTCCTTCTCTATCCTTACTGTACCTTAAAACCACTCAGGGTGCTTTTCAAAAAACCTTCGTGTCCTGAGGTTGGGCCTCTTAATGGTAGCTCTTCAGGGGAATATGAAAGCCATTGAGACTGAGAATTATGGATACAATCTAACCTCCTTGGTTTACAGTAGTGGAAACTGAGATTAAGGGGGCCTTGGTGATTTGCCCTGGTCCCAAGCAAAAAGGAAGGCCGCCCGCAGGCCTGTGCCTCCCAGCCTGGCCTCTTGCCTGCCACTCCACAGGTGGCGTTCCCCTCCTCTCCACCCAACGTCTGTTCCCCGTGGAGCCTTCCCCAACTTAACCAGCTCACAGCATGATCGCCTCATCAGTGCTCATAAACATGTAACAGAATCAGAAACCACATACATGCTACCTTCTTATATTTTGGTTTTCTTTTTGTATCTCCGTAACAAAGAAGATGGTAGGGGGATCACGGTTAGGGGGAGCCCTGCTCTGGCCTCCAAAGGGCCAGCTGCTCTTTGTTCTTCAGCTCAGCATTCTAAGGAGCAACTGGGCCCAGGTCCCTTTTCTTCTCCAAGGTCCTGGCACAGCACATGAGGGGCTCCCTGCATGGCCTCCCGCAGGAGGGTACAAGCCTGTCAGTGAGCATGCCAACCGGGCAAGTTTTTCAAGCTTCATGTTTCCTAAGAGTTGTTTGCTGAACATTCAACTCTCCGCTAAGGACAGCGTGATTCCTTAGCTTTATTTATTTAATTCTCATTAAGCAGTGCGAATGAGGCATAATTATCTTCATTTTTAAATACCAGCAACCACCACCCCAGCAACAATACAAAACCAGGATCTGTCCGAGGCCCACGGCTACTCTAACACCAGGGCTCTATCCCTGAAAGCTTCAGGTGTAGCCAGGCCCGTCAGCAGACCACGCTCCGCACTCCTGCATCTGCTCTCAAGTGTGACGCACTCTGTGACCAGAGCCCCTTCACAGACAGGACCACGCCTTACTCTTCTTATGTCTTTCATCCCAGTGATCTGCACATGGGAGAAACTCAATAACTGCTAAGTTATTTTTTTTGAACCATGGTTTTACTGTTTTCTTTATTCCTACATCTTTGTAAATCTCCTGAAATAAACTTCCCAATATTCTAATAAAAATCTGACAGAGGAGGCAAATATGATCCATTTTATATCT